CAGGTGTTCGACAATCGTTGTCTGAGAACCATAGCTCGTGTGGGTTGGTGTCAGCGAATCCGTAACGAGGCAGTTAGAAAGCGTGTTTTCGGTTGTGTAACGGGTACTTCCATTGAAGAATGTGTCCAGCAACAGAAGCTGCGTTGGTTGGGACATGTGTTACCTATGCCGAACCATCGTCTACCGGGAAGAGTGCTGTTTTCCATGCTCACCTCAGAGTGGCGTAAACAGAGAGGTTGCCAACCCTTGATTTGGCAGAGGAGTATGAAGAGATCACGAAGTGTCTGGAGGTATAGGTACCTCAGAATGGTTGTGGTAAGCTATCACTAAGTTCCTCCCCCGTCCACCCTTACTCGTTTCTTCACAATGAGGATTTCAAATAAGTCATGGTTGTACGGCAGTGAAGCATCGGTGTTGAACACTGATGTCATGCTGTCGATGATGATGATGATGACAATGATAATGATAATGAAGACATCCGATTGTCAGTTTACACCATCATTTGTCGGATCTGGATGAGGATTCATTGTATGAAACTCTTAGTGTTTCTTGGGAAAAAAAGCACAAAATGTGTTGGGACTAATGGTGCGACAGTAACCGTTTATCCCGAGAAAGAAGCACGTCCCGTTTGTAGACAACGCCGATTTTCGGCTGCAATTTAATGAAACCAAGTTGTCCGAAATAACTCACGAAGTCAAGCACTGAAATGTGAATCTCCTCGTACCAGCAGCAGTCTCACGTGGCTAGACTGGGACGGCTGATGCAGGCATCATGAAGAGACATTTGAAGTTTATTTTTTATTTTCACATTGTTGTTTCACCAATATATTTGTTCTCTGTTGTGTGAAGGAATTTCACCCAAATAGAGGCTCCTTCCATGATGTTGACCATCCTATCTTGGGGAATGCGACTAATCGCGAAAAGTTTGTAGCTGGACACAATTTACCACATACAATACATTGCCTGGTTTCATTCCAGTAGCCGTTTAATCAGAAAACATCGTACGGGGGAACAGCTCAGGTGCAAGATCACCGATAAATGACCGTGCCCTGTATCACGTGGGTGTAACTCCATGAAACCCAGTTATAAAGCTAGGTGTTGTATCTTTCCGTTCAAGTCCGCATTCACGACTTAGTATACAAATAGAATGGCGCAGTACGAATAACGCGCGGTTCGGAAATTGGGTGAATTGTTTTCCGCTCAGTCATGCCGTTTGTAAGAAATTTTGAGTACTAATCATAGGCTTGCTCTCAAATCAGCAATACAAGCTTATCAGCACACGATCAATTGGAACTAAATTTATTCCGAAATACACGCACCTGCATACAAGTTGTGGCTTTCACTCACTTGAAACCCTGCTGAATCCCACGTTTATGTTGTTCTTCTTCAACTGAATGTGCTGCATCAGGCTTCCGCACGTTTTGGTTGGGATTATGATACGCCAGTATCGCAAGACATTGTACAGACGTTACACACTACTCATAAGGCCGCTGACCGATAACCCAGTGGCGTATCGTACCAGCTGAAACTTGATGCGGCACATTCAGTTAAAGAATATCATAAACGAGAGAGGTTCATCCGGGTCTCGTGTGAAAACTAAATATGTATGAAACTGGGTGTATTTGTCGAATTTCGGTCCAAGTGTAACATAAGGTTGAGGGAAACTCGGGGGTTGTGCCTACCTGATGAACCCCAAGAAGGGCAAAACCGGTCGTGGACTGCCGACTGGTTCTCAGCAGCCTTAATATTAATGTTACGTCCATACAAGTTTACTCTGACTTGGGAACTTTTCATTCCTGGTATCTAAGTGCTCGTCTTGATTGCAGGGGGCTTTTGAATTCAGTAATCTTATGCCATATTGCTTATATTGCTTTGGTGAGTACCGTCCACTTTTCTCAACCAGCATACTTAGGCTTGAAGGTATGTAGTTCGTTTCGTTGTTTTAAACTGTTACATGCATGTGTTTCGACTCAAGCTGTCACTTATTCTTTTCTCTTTGCAAAAATCTATGAACATCACAACGTATCGTGATGGCTATGTTTATAATTGTGCTTCCTTACTGCAGCAAGAACTTGTGTTGGCTACATAGTGGCATACACAGTGAATGAAATCCATGTAATAACAACCACGAGGTTGGCGAACTAGCAGTGGAATCTGTCCATTGTCTCTTCGCCGTTCCTTCACGAAGCAAGTGACCTGATTGAACCATTAGATGGTTTTTATCAGAGAGCATTGGTGAACTAGCAAAGTAGAGGAACAGGAAGTATCTGTGCAGTGGACTTGCGGTTAGAATGTCATCCTTACGGAGATGCTTCTTCTGTTGAGGAGACAACTTTGAGCCACATGGAACTTTTCCCACTGCAGTCCGCCCTCGAGGTGACACGCAGAACCATAGAGGAAGCACCATCTTGGTTCCAAAAATGGCCGACTGTGGTTCTCAACAATATACACGATGAATAGGAAAATGGGGCTTACGAAAATAATCCAGCGTCATCACGCTGCACTACACCACCTCAACTTCGACTGTAAGTTTTACTTGGCATAGTTTCAACTGGAGTCAAAAGCATGATGAATTGTCGCCTCATAACTCCCAAACGGCTGACAAACGACCGTTGTTGCCTCATTGGTTACAGCTGTATGTAACTATATGCGGGCAACGATTGTTTACTATCCACCATAATTGATCTTGAACAATCAGATCCATAGGGTTGCTTCGAATACTTGTTTTGTGTGCAGTCGTGACGTTCTAGGCTGTTCTACTGAAGCCAGTAAAGGATATAACACTCATAAATGTGTTACTGGTTCATTTCTCTGACTCTTCGGTGCTCTTTTATTTGCTGCCTCCAACACAGCGTACTAAAACATGAACAACAACAAGTCTAAACAAACTAAAAGGACCGAAAAGAAGAGTCCCTCTGCGAATCTGACTGAAATTGAAAAACACAACAAGGATATTGCTCAACCTAATGTTCCTCCGAAAATCGCAGCACGCCTGACGGCCTCGTCCAAGGACAAACAGATAACTCAGGAGACTCTAAACAAAGGCCTAGACCAGGCCAGAGAAAGGAGGATGGTAAGTTTCAGAGAGGTTTGGTACGTTATTTTTGTTACGTTTTAACGACATGATTTCGGAAACAAACTAATGTGACTGTTGGAAAGCAAGTACACTTTCCACTAACAAGCTCACCTGTCTCTCGATCCATAATTCTAACCGAATGCTCTGAGGTTTGTTCTAAAGCGAGACTAGAACTTGGACTGATATTCTGGAGATCTTGTCTAACATCTTCTGATGAAATTATCTTTCCCGTGCATCTTCAAAGATTTCTATCGACAATACGAACGAAATATTCTTCACATTGGTTGACTAGACACTTGACTAAGCTCACTACTTACTCTCAGTCTTTCTTCACACGGCAGAAATAAGCAGGCCACATAATTGAGCCCGTGCGGCTCACACAGACAATTCTTTCCCCAGCAACTTCTACATAAAAGACTATTCCATAGGCCAAAATTCAACATCCATAAGGTAAGAAATTTTGCTACCGTCTTGTTCCTTCGGGCCCCCTGTCACACCAAACAGCACACATGACGAATCTGTCCCCATTCTCAAATACCTAGGTTATGGCATTCTCAAACGAAAACAAAATGAAGATCCGCAGCGACGTTGCCACAGTTAGTTAGTACAACTGAAGAATATCCTCCGACATAAAGGTGAGACCATACATCAGGTCACTGTGGGTCGTTATTCTATATGGAAGCGACCCCTGCACACCAGAATTCAAGGACAATTCAAGTAGGCTAGATGCTTTTGACAAATGATGCGGGAGGACAATTCAGAAAATAGGGTGAACCGGTTAGGTCCTTGATTCGCACCAATTAGACCAGTTCAGAAGCTGACTTCACAGTCAGCTACAGGCAAGCACCAACTGATCCTGAACTGGTTTAGGTATGTTCCTCACTAATCGGATGAAGACTTCTTCAAGCAGACCTTCAAGCAAAGTACATACCAAGTTTAGCCTAGCCGCTATAGAGTTCCTCTGGAAAAGGTGGGTATTACGACGGGAATTACGCGCTGAAAATCAAAGTCTCCATTCTACCTACAATGTGCGCCACTGAAAACAAGACGATGATCTAATGTGTGCTGATCTCGTCGCAGATCCTCAAACGTCGGCGGTTGCAATGCAGAACAACTATGGACCAGCACATCCTTTTGTGAGAACAGTCACGGTGAGGCAAAAAACGGGTCGCCAGGTGGCGTTAAGCATAGTTTCAAATTACAATGGCAATAACTTGGAGCGCAGAATAAGTCTCTCATTTATCGTCTCCTTGCGGGTCAAAATTGTCCCTTGGTTGAATTCTCCAAAATTTATTTGAGGGACACTCCTAAACCTCGGGCAGGGCGACACACACTACTGGTAGTGTGAGATTCGGTAAATTCGAAGGGAGATTTCGTCCAGTGAGTGAGGTCAATCTATGCTCAGAAGCCCAGAAGCACTAGGCAGCGGCTTCATCCTCATTGGGAATCACCAGCAATGCACAGCTCGGGAGTGTTCCGTCTGGTATAGCCTAGAAAAACTCAGTGGTACAATGTAAAAAGCAGTAACCTAACATCAATCACTGACGTACACACCACGAATAAAACAAAAGCAAAGGATATGGAAAAAAAGTATAACTCTGGCACAGTGCCGAAAACACAGGGATGAATGAAAACTAAGCTTAGTAAACATCTACACCAGAATAATGAAACCAGATAACACCAAATGATGACGCCTCCGAGAACATAAAATGCTACTTAGGCACGTTTCATTGCCAAGACACCCTAACACACAGGCGTTCTCATATTGAATCGACCTACACCAAACCGAACCGAATATGTCAGTTCGTCCCACCCAAATAAGGTAATTGTGAACCTGCTTCAGGGTGCACGTTTGCACAAAATATTCATTCCTTCAACATACATATTCACATTCAAATTACTTGTTTCACGTCATACTTCGAATCGAATACTTTTCTTGTTTGTGAAGAAGTTGGAAAGGTAGAAAACCGAAGACTCAACCTCCTTACACCTTTCTTATTCACCGAACTTCAGGTTCCTTTGTAAAATACTCATCGGGTAAGCGAAAAGTTGGCAACTCGAGTCTGTCCACTGGCGTGTCTTCTCGTTTGTGCTTTGTACGTGGACGCTCTGGTTCAAAGCAAAGTGCCATTGCAAATGAATAGTTTTTTTTCTTCAATATTGCCCGAGCAACTTCTCTAGTATAGAAATCCAGATGTCATTTGCAACCTGGGAGCATCTAGCTAGGAGCTGTCAGGATCGGAGTCAATCCTTTGTTGCTCTGGTACACTCAACCCTTCCCTGGGTTGCGTAAATTCACCAGCTTCTTGCCTCCGATACAATGTTCCTCCCCCTAATTGACTTCCCCTGGTGTATACAAAAGTCAAACATTCGAAGGTGGGTGGTCGCTATATGCTGGCCAATAGTCCCATTACAACCTTTCACGGCCGTGTGACTAAACACAGATTATTCTGTTGGCATTTTACATTTTTGGCTTAATGGCTGCACACCAAACACCGCCAACCTTTACGAATCTTCTATAATCTATGAGCGGGAGCTTGTACCCTCATTTTAGTTAAATCTCAAGTCCCGATTCGTTTGTTTCGCAACTGTGCTGGCGAAGTTTGGGATCAACCTGTTGTGCCTCTTATTGAACGAACGTAGCCGACACTGCAGTTTTGATCCCATGTACTAAAAGCCACAGATATATTTGATTATTTTAGCTAATGCAGGAGCTATTTCTTGAAGGTCTAGTTCGAATTTCGCTGTTTTGCCAGTACTTGCTGTATCCCTTTGCACTTTAAAGTAGTTTGTTGACCAGGGTTCGAATAGCAAGTGATACATCCTTTCGGTCTTTCGGGTTGCTAGTCCACACCTCACTACCAGATGCCCAGTAGGCTCAGGTGGCTGGTTACTGGAGAAAACAGGACCCAGATGGGTTCAAAGCAAAGCTTTGGCGTTAGATTGATTAGGGTAGCCGTATAATTTTGTTTCAGTTTCAGTTGGATAACCGAACAATTAGATACCTTGTATCGTAAGAAATACCTGACAGCTTGTCCAGCGCAGTGATTCTCCAACCGGAGTGTGCAAACTCCCACTGATCTAGAAAAACCTAGAGAGTGAGATCCGTCCCGATTCTCGGGAGGATAAAATCATCCATGAATTTAATAATGAATAATCGTCCAGCTCTAACAGTCTTTCGATGCCTAGCCGCCACGGCAACCGCTAAATATGTATGAAACTGGGTGTATTTGTCGAATTTCGGTCCAAGTGTAACATAAGGTTGAGGGAAACTCGGGGGTTGTGCCTACCTGATGAACCCCAAGAAGGGCAAAACCGGTCGTGGACTGCCGACTGGTTCTCAGCAGCCTTAATATTAATGTTACGTCCATACAAGTTTACTCTGACTTGGGAACTTTTCATTCCTGGTATCTAAGTGCTCGTCTTGATTGCAGGGGGGCTTTTGAATTCAGTAATCTTATGCCATATTGCTTATATTGCTTTGGTGAGTACCGTCCACTTTTCTCAACCAGCATACTTAGGCTTGAAGGTATGTAGTTCGTTTCGTTGTTTTAAACTGTTACATGCATGTGTTTCGACTCAAGCTGTCACTTATTCTTTTCTCTTTGCAAAAATCTATGAACATCACAACGTATCGTGATGGCTATGTTTATAATTGTGCTTCCTTACTGCAGCAAGAACTTGTGTTGGCTACATAGTGGCATACACAGTGAATGAAATCCATGTAATAACAACCACGAGGTTGGCGAACTAGCAGTGGAATCTGTCCATTGTCTCTTCGCCGTTCCTTCACGAAGCAAGTGACCTGATTGAACCATTAGATGGTTTTTATCAGAGAGCATTGGTGAACTAGCAAAGTAGAGGAACAGGAAGTATCTGTGCAGTGGACTTGCGGTTAGAATGTCATCCTTACGGAGATGCTTCTTCTGTTGAGGAGACAACTTTGAGCCACATGGAACTTTTCCCACTGCAGTCCGCCCTCGAGGTGACACGCAGAACCATAGAGGAAGCACCATCTTGGTTCCAAAAATGGCCGACTGTGGTTCTCAACAATATACACGATGAATAGGAAAATGGGGCTTACGAAAATAATCCAGCGTCATCACGCTGCACTACACCACCTCAACTTCGACTGTAAGTTTTACTTGGCATAGTTTCAACTGGAGTCAAAAGCATGATGAATTGTCGCCTCATAACTCCCAAACGGCTGACAAACGACCGTTGTTGCCTCATTGGTTACAGCTGTATGTAACTATATGCGGGCAACGATTGTTTACTATCCACCATAATTGATCTTGAACAATCAGATCCATAGGGTTGCTTCGAATACTTGTTTTGTGTGCAGTCGTGACGTTCTAGGCTGTTCTACTGAAGCCAGTAAAGGATATAACACTCATAAATGTGTTACTGGTTCATTTCTCTGACTCTTCGGTGCTCTTTTATTTGCTGCCTCCAACACAGCGTACTAAAACATGAACAACAACAAGTCTAAACAAACTAAAAGGACCGAAAAGAAGAGTCCCTCTGCGAATCTGACTGAAATTGAAAAACACAACAAGGATATTGCTCAACCTAATGTTCCTCCGAAAATCGCAGCACGCCTGACGGCCTCGTCCAAGGACAAACAGATAACTCAGGAGACTCTAAACAAAGGCCTAGACCAGGCCAGAGAAAGGAGGATGGTAAGTTTCAGAGAGGTTTGGTACGTTATTTTTGTTACGTTTTAACGACATGATTTCGGAAACAAACTAATGTGACTGTTGGAAAGCAAGTACACTTTCCACTAACAAGCTCACCTGTCTCTCGATCCATAATTCTAACCGAATGCTCTGAGGTTTGTTCTAAAGCGAGACTAGAACTTGGACTGATATTCTGGAGATCTTGTCTAACATCTTCTGATGAAATTATCTTTCCCGTGCATCTTCAAAGATTTCTATCGACAATACGAACGAAATATTCTTCACATTGGTTGACTAGACACTTGACTAAGCTCACTACTTACTCTCAGTCTTTCTTCACACGGCAGAAATAAGCAGGCCACATAATTGAGCCCGTGCGGCTCACACAGACAATTCTTTCCCCAGCAACTTCTACATAAAAGACTATTCCATAGGCCAAAATTCAACATCCATAAGGTAAGAAATTTTGCTACCGTCTTGTTCCTTCGGGCCCCCTGTCACACCACACAGCACACATGACGAATCTGTCCCCATTCTCAAATACCTAGGTTATGGCATTCTCAAACGAAAACAAAATGAAGATCCGCAGCGACGTTGCCACAGTTAGTTACTACAACTGAAGAATATCCTCCGACATAAAGGTGAGACCATACATCAGGTCACTGTGGGTCGTTATTCTATATGGAAGCGACCCCTGCACACCAGAATTCAAGGACAATTCAAGTAGGCTAGATGCTTTTGACAAATGATGCGGGAGGACAATTCAGAAAATAGGGTGAACCGGTTAGGTCCTTGATTCGCACCAATTAGACCAGTTCAGAAGCTGACTTCACAGTCAGCTACAGGCAAGCACCAACTGATCCTGAACTGGTTTAGGTATGTTCCTCACTAATCGGATGAAGACTTCTTCAAGCAGACCTTCAAGCAAAGTACATACCAAGTTTAGCCTAGCCGCTATAGAGTTCCTCTGGAAAAGGTGGGTATTACGACGGGAATTACGCGCTGAAAATCAAAGTCTCCATTCTACCTACAATGTGCGCCACTGAAAACAAGACGATGATCTAATGTGTGCTGATCTCGTCGCAGATCCTCAAACGTCGGCGGTTGCAATGCAGAACAACTATGGACCAGCACATCCTTTTGTGAGAACAGTCACGGTGAGGCAAAAAACGGGTCGCCAGGTGGCGTTAAGCATAGTTTCAAATTACAATGGCAATAACTTGGAGCGCAGAATAAGTCTCTCATTTATCGTCTCCTTGCGGGTCAAAATTGTCCCTTGGTTGAATTCTCCAAAATTTATTTGAGGGACACTCCTAAACCTCGGGCAGGGCGACACACACTACTGGTAGTGTGAGATTCGGTAAATTCGAAGGGAGATTTCGTCCAGTGAGTGAGGTCAATCTATGCTCAGAAGCCCAGAAGCACTAGGCAGCGGCTTCATCCTCATTGGGAATCACCAGCAATGCACAGCTCGGGAGTGTTCCGTCTGGTATAGCCTAGAAAAACTCAGTGGTACAATGTAAAAAGCGGTAACCTAACATCAATCACTGACGTACACACCACGAATAAAACAAAAGCAAAGGATATGGAAAAAAAGTATAACTCTGGCACAGTGCCGAAAACACAGGGATGAATGAAAACTAAGCTTAGTAAACATCTACACCAGAATAATGAAACCAGATAACACCAAATGATGACGCCTCCGAGAACATAAAATGCTACTTAGGCACGTTTCATTGCCAAGACACCCTAACACACAGGCGTTCTCATATTGAATCGACCTACACCAAACCGAACCGAATATGTCAGTTCGTCCCACCCAAATAAGGTAATTGTGAACCTGCTTCAGGGTGCACGTTTGCACAAAATATTCATTCCTTCAACATACATATTCACATTCAAATTACTTGTTTCACGTCATACTTCGAATCGAATACTTTTCTTGTTTGTGCAGAAGTTGGAAAGGTAGAAAACCGAAGACTCAACCTCCTTACACCTTTCTTATTCACCGAACTTCAGGTTCCTTTGTAAAATACTCATCGGGTAAGCGAAAAGTTGGCAACTCGAGTCTGTCCACTGGCGTGTCTTCTCGTTTGTGCTTTGTACGTGGACGCTCTGGTTCAAAGCAAAATGCCATTGCAAATGAATAGTTTTTTTTTCTCAATATTGCCCGAGCAACTTCTCTAGTATAGAAATCCAGATGTCATTTGCAACCTGGGAGCATCTAGCTAGGAGCTGTCAGGATCGGAGTCAATCCTTTGTTGCTCTGGTACACTCAACACTTCCCTGGGTTGCGTAAATTCACCAGCTTCTTGCCTCCGATACAATGTTCCTCCCCCTAATTGACTTCCCCTGGTGTATACAAAAGTCAAACATTCGAAGGTGGGTGGTCGCTATATGCTGGCCAATAGTCCCATTACAACCTTTCACGGCCGTGTGACTAAACACAGATTATTCTGTTGGCATTTTACATTTTTGGCTTAATGGCTGCACACCAAACACCGCCAACCTTTACGAATCTTCTATAATCTATGAGCGGGAGCTTGTACCCTCATTTTAGTTAAATCTCAAGTCCCGATTCGTTTGTTTCGCAACTGTGCTGGCGAAGTTTGGGATCAACCTGTTGTGCCTCTTATTGAACGAACGTAGCCGACACTGCAGTTTTGATCCCATGTACTAAAAGCCACAGATATATTTGATTATTTTAGCTAATGCAGGAGCTATTTCTTGAAGGTCTAGTTCGAATTTCGCTGTTTTGCCAGTACTTGCTGTATCCCTTTGCACTTTAAAGTAGTTTGTTGACCAGGGTTCGAATAGCAAGTGATACATCCTTTCGGTCTTTCGGGTTGCTAGTCCACACCTCACTACCAGATGCCCAGTAGGCTCAGGTGGCTGGTTACTGGAGAAAACAGGACCCAGATGGGTTCAAAGCAAAGCTTTGGCGTTAGATTGATTAGGGTAGCCGTATAATTTTGTTTCAGTTTCAGTTGGATAACCGAACAATTAGATACCTTGTATCGTAAGAAATACCTGACAGCTTGTCCAGCGCAGTGATTCTCCAACCGGAGTGTGCAAACTCCCACTGATCTAGAAAAACCTAGAGAGTGAGATCCGTCCCGATTCTCGGGAGGATAAAATCATCCATGAATTTAATAATGAATAATCGTCCAGCTCTAACAGTCTTTCGATGCCTAGCCGCCACGGCAACCGAGAGAGCAACATTAGTGTTGGCACTGATGCTTCACTGCCGTACAACCATGAGGTTCATGTAATTATATTATATATATATATATGTATATATATTAAAGGCCCTCGAGTGAAAAGAAGAGGAAAAGTGGGTGAGGTAGGGGACCTAGTGCTTGCTTATGTCAAGCATTTTGAGGTGCCTACACTACCGCTCAATCAATCAGACAAACTGAAAACAAACTGAGAGCACGAACGCCACTGACATCGATAAGCCGCCATTTCTTGCAATATCTCCAAGTACAGAGGGGGTGCCTACACTACCAAGCGCTCAATCAGACAAACTGAAAACAAACTGAGAGCACGAACGCCACTGACATCGATAAGCCGCCATTTCTTGCAATATCTCCAGCCAAGTACAGAGGGGTCAAGGGGATCCTATCCTGGAGGGCGCACTGCACCAATAACACCAAAACTCTTCGTAATCTCTTTCAAAACCTTCTGCCAAATCATACTTTGTCCCCTTCGCGGTTTGAGCCATTCGGGGGGAGGCACGGAGACGGTGTTTCGGCATGCGTTGAACATGACCGAGCCATCGTAGTCGGTGGTGCTGGATGTTTCCAAGATTGAAGTACCTGCATCACAACCAATTACCCGTTTTCTAAATACCTCCTTACAAACACGCTGACACCATCCAAAACCAGCAACGCTTGAGGCACCGGTGATGAAAAACCTGAAGACGCCTCACATCATCTACCCGAAGAGGCCATGCTCGCACCCCATACAACAACACAGCCCTTACTGTAGCCTGGTACACACGACCCTTAAGATCAAGTGAGATGCCTTTTTGACGCCACAAGTGACGCAAATTAGCAAACGTGATTCGAGTCTTTGAGATTCTTGCACTGACTTCATCAGACACAGTTCCGTCAGAGCTGATACAACTACCGAGGTAAGTAAAATGTTCCACAATCTCCAGCGATCCTTCTTGAATCGTAAGGGATATGTCCAGAGACCGCACGTTCTGAAGCATAACTTTGTATTTTGAAGGTGCAAGACGCATGCCGAGAGGAGGTATGATGGTGGTCAGTCTATTCAACAGAGCTTGCGCTTCGGTTCGGTCTTCACAGATGAGGGAGATGTCGTCCGCGTACTCCAGATCGACAAGCCTATCACCAGCAGTGATTTGAACACCGGGGTTTTGAAGACCCTTCAGTGTTCGCCCCAAGATGAAGCTGAACAAGAGTGGAGAAAGTGGACATTCTTGTCGGACACCACGTTTTGTAGGGAAGCTTTTGGAGAGCTCATCATACACTCTCACCCGCCCAGGAGTATGCCGGTGTCGGCTTCGAGCCACGGAACTTCCGGTCAGTAAGTTCACGCACAAATCACTGGTTTTAGGAATAAGCAGGTTAAAATCCCCAACATTAACCCCATGTCCATAGATTGGGCCAAGTTACTCATTTTTAGCGATATCACCTAACCTAAATGACAAACTAAAAAGCCTGCCGCGCAACCAAGCGAGCACGTGTTCAGCCACCGCAGAGAGTTTACCCGTAAAAAATCGGTTGTCGCAAGAGTGAGATTCAAGTGGTATTGAATTTCGGACGAATTCGCAGTTCAACAGAAAACCCTTCTTATTGGGGAATAGGACCGTCCTAGTAGGTTGCTGCAGGTCGAAGGTTTATCGCTGGAGTGTGATTCCTCTTAGCAAACTTCGGCTTCCTTGACAAAACATGCTGAGACTAATTTCTCACGGATATAAGCAACATGTCATTTCTTTTTCCTGCCCTTCTGTCACATTCGGTTAGTGACGGCTTGGGTTTGTGTAAATCTTCAGACTTCTCTCTTGCCGGTTGTTATCATTAGGATTCTTTGTTCAACCTTCCATTTCACAGTCTCTGCAAGCAGACCGAGCAGATCGACTACGCCAACATTTGGCCCGTGTGGAACAAGTCGCGCAAATGAAGAAAGGTCAAAAGCCGCTGACAGAAGAACCTGAAGTGGAGTGACCTGTACATCCCATGCTATTTGCGTATTAAAACTTGTTAGTAGTTGGATGAACTTTCGCGACGCATACTGTCCGTTTCTGCCTAGCTAGAGAAAACAAGGTTTGTCAAATATGTCATGGTTAACTCTCAATGTCTTGTTCAAACGGATGATGATTTTGTCCGTAAGCTCGTCATAGATGATGTCACATTTCTAGCTACTTCAAATATTTGCGACTCAGAACTCGGATAACCCAGAAAAATAGGCGAATCTGAAATACAATGATCCTCCAAGGAGAATGCATTACAACAATGATATTCGGCCTCTTTTCGATGGGCTCCTAAAAAATCCTGGCCCCTTAGGGAAAGCGGTCTGTTTTCGGGGGGGGGGTCGTTGTTGCGTATCACTTCAATGGAAGTCGATACGCAGCAAACGGGCTTACACGTAAACAGACGGGTCACGATGTTGTTTTCGAACCAAATGTGCACGGGCCTGTGCGACCTACAGCGTGTGACAGCCACAAAACTAACCAAATGGTGCTTCAATGATCCGAACCCGGTAAAGTAAACTCATCCTATGAAAGAAACGTATACAGTTTCTTGTTGTTCGTGAAAGTCAAAAGTGTGCAGTAGGTTGAAGTATCGTTTGTTATTCAAAGTGCACCTGTCATGCTCTCTAATTTGGTCTCCCATATTCAAAGCGAATATTCCACTTTGGAGCTGATTTTCGAAAACGATAAGGGCTGTTTGATATTGGGGTGGTTTGTGTTTGGAGTCTTATGAAAGGGTCGTCAGCTTCGGTTGCTCACCATCAAAAATTGAGGTGCATAATACTTGTAATGCACTACTCAAACATACATGTATCGCGATATCTCGAATATCGTAGCGACTGACACATGAGACGGCCTGGTGCAACACATTCAGTAGCCTGGAAACATCACAAACAAGAACTTCAGCTGGGTTCCAGGTGAGTCTCTCGAAAAACCAAATTGGTTTGCAAACAAGTGTATATTCGCTAATGAGATGCATACTATTTGCTTGCATGGCCGGTGAAATTAACCCGCGCCACAAGCTCTGTTGAGTTGGGCCATTCCCATGAATAGCCCTAGGTCGAGGAGAGTGCTGCACTCAGTGGTAGACAAGATAGTCGAAAAAGAACGAAAGCTATAGTCTGCGAATGGAACCCAGAGTAGAATGAGGATTCGAAACTAGGTAAAGCTGATTCTTGCTCATGGGACAACCAGTCATTCGGTTTTTTTCATATATGAAGAGTTTTATTCACCTAGTCAGATAAACGTAAAGCTAAAAATATCATACGTCAAGATGAGGAGGTAGCGAACGAGTTATGCGTGGGCAAAGAAATCATCGTGGACAATTCAATGAAACTTGTGCATGTGGAAAAATCGAGGAAGTGATAGGAACTCATAAGCCTTTGTTGTAGTAAACACGTTCGGGAATCCTATCCCCACGTAATTTGCGAATCTTTGCTTGTGCATCGGGTTCGAGTTTATCGAACGCAATTGAACTGACTTGTGGGAATAGAGCGCAGCACATTGGCGTCATGAATGTCAAGCTGGTGGAACAAGGAGAAAATAAGAAGAACAGGTCAAGAATATTGAGTGGTGAGTTTTGGGACCAACAGTAACCAGTAAGGGCTGGTTACTAAGTTTGATGGCAAAAAGTTGATCAGAGTTGAAAACTACACCGCGAAGCCGTCGCTTCTCACGAGGTAACCAACCTTGAAAAAGTTACACATTTTCGTTACTCATCACCATAAAACGGTCTGGTATGTAAACAGAAACAATCCACAACACAACTCGGTCCAAAGCCTTCGACCACACAGCTATCATCACAGTGTCCCAGTAAGCAACAAGACTGGTGAAATTGTCTCGTTCCAAGTACAAAAAAAACAAGTAGTGACCTTTGTCTGAGAGCAGGAAATAGATATGCTTAAAAAAGTTCCTTTCATAGTCTTGTACAGGAGTTACTTAGTCCCTCATGACCAAATAGACGGTGTCATTTCTCTCCTCTTCTCACTCGTTCACATTTTCTCTCCTCGACAAGACTACTAATAACCTGTTTACATGGGTCGCTTTTCCGACCAAAAAATTAGGCCAAAAACTACTAAATAAGTTTCTTCTGCGGGAACACACTCAGTAGGAAGGACAAAACCCGGACCAGCTTACAGAGGACTGCGAAAATCGGCCGGAAGAGTAAAAAAACGGCCAAGCCGTACAAAAACATTCCCCTGCACAAACCAACATTCCCTTAGGCTCTGATGAGATCAACAAACAAAGATATCCAAGGCTCGCATTTTACCTATTTTCAACCAAAGAATGTTCCAACCATCGACTCTCTCTTCATACACTCTAAACGACTTTCAGGTGCTTTCCGCGGAAAGAGATGCTTGGTAGTGGTTGATACGGATTGTCGAATAACTACAGGAAGTAATCATAGGCTCCAGCCTGAATAGATTATAGAAATATGTCCAAAGTCATAGAGTAAAGTTTTCAATTCTTTCCCAGGTCGCAGCTTACTCCAAAAATCAAGAACTAACTCCGTGCCATGCGAAGGAAAAGCAAACCGGCTTCGACGTTAATAAGAGGACAGCCAGCTTCACTTTGATAGAAACGAGTGGTACCAGATGAAAACGGCAGCTGGTTGCTCCCGGGATGTACGCATAGATGGTATGACGAGGTCAGATTTTCTACATAATGTTTACTGGGCCTATAGCAGGAGTACCTATTTACTGGATCGCAACTATGTCTGCTGTTTATAGAGGTTCCAAGCAAACCCATCCTTAACGCCGCTTCCCGACATGCCGATGTGAAACTTCGCTCAACGGTGGGGTACTCTCTCCTTACCTTACATCGGTTTTCCATTCCCTACCACACACTGTCTAACTCTCCGTCTCGTTAGTATTCTGCAACTCAAAACAATGAGGCAATGATTGGACATGCAAAGCTTGGAATGTCATTCTCTAAACAGAAGATTTGACAGCGACGATTTAGGTAGTCGTTTGGTTGAAATACGGACAGCTTCCTCGTCGTGACTGGTTCCAACGCCATACGTACAAACGACCATAAGCGCATTCGACTTGGATAACCGGTCTGTTCTCCTTGACACGCTTGCCTATCAAGGAATGCCCCGGAAGTTTGTGAACACAACACGTTATTTGTATTCTCATAATTCGGGACATGAGAGTATATGGGGAGCCCTCCAAAAGCTTTCGTACTCAAAGCGGTCTCTGCCAGGGATGCCCAATATCTCAATTCTTATTTAATTTCGTGATCGATGAGATAATAAGACGAATGCTAGAAGTTCTTCAAAACTCGAGTAGCCTCTGCGGAAAAACCTATTGATCTGGAATATGCAGACGATATCTCTCTCGTCTTCGAAGAGGAGAAAGTGTAGGTGTTTTTGGATGAGTTAACCAAAGTCATCCCTTTCTTCGGTATGCACTTTGCATTCACAAAGTGAAAGTTCATGCTTGTGGACGTGCAGTCACTGAACACTACACTAACAATCCAGGGAGAAGTATTCGAAGTTGTGGAGCGTTTCACGTTTCCTGGAAGTTGTATCAGTTCTGATTGTGTGACAGATCAGATTAATGCACGAACCTGCAACGCTCGGGTCGAGTTTGCCAATTTTAGATGCCCATGGCGTCAAAGGGGTATATATCACCGGTTAGGTGTTCATCAGCCAGAAGTGATTCATGTAAAGGGTCCTGGAAGAATGTCTACGGAAACGAAAAGGTTCTTTTGGGGAAGAACCTTAGAGGGAAACAACTGCATAATTCCAGCTCATTTAAATTCATCCACATATGCACCTATTTCACGGGACGTACGTTAGTTCCAGCCCCATAGTTTTTCACCCTAGTGAACAGCGGATCATGAGTGTTGCAGTAGTGACGATACATTGGTAATGATCAAGCCTTTTCGTTGGCACGCGGATATCTGTAACGCGACTGTACTTGATAACTTATCTGACCACTGATGTGGCCATCGAAGAGACGTCATTAGTATCATTATCGTCATCAGCAGGGTAGCACCATCATTGACATCCGGCGTCAAAACCATGTCAATTAAATTATGTAAAGTTCTATAATGAGAACAAAACTGGAGAAGTGAAGGGTTCGCGGTGTTAGCTTGCCACAAATGAGCGAGGTGCCCGAACTCCACTTAATCCCTCTTCCCTGTACACGATGGCAAAAAGACGACCCTGAGAGGCAGATGATGCCATGGGATTTGAGGCGCACTCCGTGAAATGTTGTCATGTAATGTGCCATATGTGAATTTTCTCCGCCGGAATTTACTTGGCCAACTTCGGTATCACGAATCCGGTGTTCTCAGCAGACGTGAGGGAACCTCGACGGTTCAAGTCTTCTAACACCCACTCGCGGTGACCAGGTTTTCGAAACATGTGACGGTAGGGATCGCAATGCACCATTGTAAGTTATACCGTTCACGCATAGGTTGATGTCACATCAAGGATCAGATTCGTCTTTGATAGAACATAAATTTTGGATAATTAAATGGTCCGGACTAAGGCACAGCTCCCCTAGCAAATGAACTTGTCAACTACACTAATCCGTTCATTTGTTGTCCATTAGTTAGATGCCAACCAAGTTCACAGTTGTGTGAGCAGCGGATTAATCTGTGGTGAGGCGAGGCCCGGATGAAGATCGACAAACACTTCACCACAAATTTCGGGTGATTCTTTTATTATTCCAAATACGTGCAAGGAGGTCTAGCAAGAAGGTATTTCACGAATCTTCCAAATTGCCTTGAACTGGAGAAGGGTGATATACTGATTTACGAGGAATTCGCTTCAAGTGGGCGAGAAGGAGACCACACAAGAAGCATTTCTGGACCATCATATCTACCTAGCAGTAAAAAACGCTGAGGCCCATGAAGCGTTCGCTTAGCATGCATATTTCTAATTGCCTTTATAGGCGTATTACGACTGATAACTTTCATGGCATATGAATTAAATTAAATCAACGAGCAAGGTGGCTGTGATGGGAACAGATCACAACATGTAAGCGCATCACAGAGAGATGCGCTACATTCACGGATAACTAGACTGAGGTAGCCTTTATCAACTTCATCAGAACTGACCGTGTTTTTGGACCCGAGGCAGCATTTTCAGGCGGCTGTATCTATAGCAATAAGGCAAGGCTACTGAACTGAATTAACAACTGTGTGGACGAGGGGTTGCAGGGAAAATGTTCAATCCGTGTCCGGTATGTAAAAGTAAGTAAGCGCTCCGAATGGAATCAGAATGCAAACATTTTCCAAAGTAAACAGTCCTACATTACACTCGGGTGTAGTCCAATGTCAGGTGTATCCGAATGGCAACATTCTTGCACTTGTGGGCTTCATTGGAACGCTAAACCACCGAGATACACAACAGCGGTTCATAATACTGGCACGCCTCCTTACAATGTAAACAGGTCAAAGTAAGTAGCTGTCTTCACCTATTCGCCGGGTCAATATGTAAACAAATCAACCACGAATAACTGGTGATGTCGATGCCATACCAAAACGTGTGTGGATATGAATGTGTGGCATCAATGAGGACTCACAAGATGCCACAGAGAGTAACCTGAAGAGGAGCTCCGAGCCACGGATAGCGAGCTAAGGTGCCCCGTTTCTCCAAAGCATCCATCAATATCGGGGGAAAAACTGTGGATAGAGGGATCAATATGAATGACAACGCGAAAAAAATCACTATATCATGCGTTATAATCAAACACATACGGGCGTAAAAAATGCAGCTAGCTAGGAAGAAATGACATCTGAGGGAGAAGGGGTTAAAATTACGTCAGCCAAGTGGAATTTCTCCTAGCTGGTAGGACCCTTAGACCATTGCTGAAGTCCGTAGAATAACGCTGCAGCTTGCCTATAAGTTACCTCAAAAGGCGGAAGGGGTTAAAATTACGTCAGCCAAATGGAATTTCTCCTAGCTGGTAGGAAGTTTAGACCATTGCTGAAGTTCGTAGAATAACGCTGAAGCTTGCCTATAAGTTACCTCAAAAGGTAAAAAGACGATTTTCACCAAACCACGGTTTCCACGCGAAGTCCTACGCCGAAATCTTGAGCCAATGGTTTGAGGTTCATCACATTTTTCAGGTCAGTTCGGTTTGCCAACCGTGTAATTATGAAGGTGGTTCGGGAATCTTCAGATGGTGTACGATGAAGAGATAGTCGCGAGCGCAGGAAACAACTTAAATACGAATAACAAGTTGATGACCAACAGCAGTATGAAAAATAGCGCCACTAGCCGCGTGACCTCACCATAAATACCTTTGACGACTAATGGGAGTTTCTAGTGTACTCAGATCCCGCAAGGTATACACTAGCTACAACCGCTGTATGATAAGTACGCGGTTCTTACAGCTCATGATGATGATGATGATACTAGCTCGTTTCTAGATGGTTCGTTGCCCAAGCGGTACCTGTCTCAACGGAGCAATCCACCGCCTGGCGTACAAGCACACGACCGAGCCGGCAACTCAGCAAGCGAGTACGCCTCTAATATATTGCCGAAAACCATTCGCCACGTCTCAGCATTGTTTATTTGATGTTTCAGTAGTATGTAATGCCTTGGGTGCACTATGGCCAAACACAAGCAACCTTATTTTGTTTGCCACACACAGCGCCTAAGCTTCCCAGCTGAAGGCACTAGTGGGTGCACGTCCGCGTTTTAGACCCTACTGACGCGCTCATGGCTCGGTGAGGTCGTTGAGTTAGGGAAAAAGAGGGCGGGATTTTGCAGTTCTAGCACTTGTTCCGTATCTCAATCGAATTGGGTGGGTACTCATCCAGTTTTGCGATAGTGCTTGCAAACTGGAGATTTAAAACGTACCACAAATCGTGTCCATTCTGCAGGATAAAGATGTGGTGCTTGTCACAAGTGTTGGTGAACCTGCGCAGCCTGGAAGCCATACTGACGAGATAGATAAACCGATGATTTCCAAACATATGCGAAGTCCTTTTAAATTTTGAGACTGGGGTAGGCTTATACCACAAGTCCGGCACTTTTTTCGTCTTTCAACTGCTCTGCGCTTGCTTTGTTTCAGGCTGCAACCGAGACCTTCTCCTACACCCCCAGATAATGCAGACGGCATTCAAGCGCCTAATTCCGTTTTGAACCTTTCAAGGTGCTGCAGTTAAGAAATACGCAACCCCCTGTCAAACCGCTGGTCGTCATACTGGGTACTTGAGGTTAGCTATGTTGTTCTTCGGAACGTTCTGCCTATTAAAACAGATGACAGGAACTGAAATAAATTTTTGGAGCTACCTTCCTCCGTAAGGACTTCAGTGACCAATAAGTTGTCTCGGAGAAGTAATGCGGATAAGTTGAAAAAGAGTTTGGCCGTTTGTGACTCCACTCTCCATTTAGAGGGTTTCCTTCAGTCCTTTCTTCCGAAGGGTCGGCAGACTGAGTCGACCTGCGACCCACCAATCCGGTGGGGTCGTTCTGTTTGCCTCAATTCTGAAACAAATCCCCGGGATCCAACTTAAGTTGGGTCATGGCTTTCTATCGGGCTAATGCAAGAGATAGTGCCACATACGACATGCATATGTGCAACCCTCTGAATGCCTTACACCCGTTATGAAGTCGATGAAATAAGGCGGGAGGTTGGAAAGGAGAAGAATATGAACCAACTAACCGTATGTCTGAAATTCTAACCCACACTATCACGATGAAGCTGTGATGTGCCTTGCGCGCACTGATCGCTTTAACAAGCCAAGTAGACTTGACTTGTCAATGTGCCGCGGGGGTAGTTGCATAGAAAACAAACATTCACAATCTCGCCATGCTGTTACTACGCTGTGACAAATGTTTGTGAAGATCTGGTAGGGATTTGTCTCCCATATTGTTGTTGATTGCTGTCATACCTATCGGAGCCGATCATACGGTATTTGCGAATGAAGTTTACAAGGCGGTTAAATCCGTTAGATGATGTACGATTAAACTGCTAGGAATTTTACCCAGAATGGAGATTTTGCCTTGTAAGTGAAGCCATGCTGTGCTGAAGAGCCGAAAAGCACTGCGTTTCTTTGCAATTTGCGCCTACGATGGACTCCTTGTTGTCAATCATTGGCCAAATCTATGCCGATGCTCTCCCACTTGCAGGGTGAAGATAGGTCAAGTTAAGGTGTAACAAAAACTATCCGTAGTTCGTGATTCGACTCCATCACTTGTATTTCAATTGCTACCGAACAGGATTAAGTAATTCGGCAGTGTTGCCGTTGTTCTGCTTCCCTCATGTTGTGTAATAACCGAAGGACAAAAACGTGTCATCGTGCGATAACCTGCTTTCCTGATTGTGTAGAAATCAATAAATAGAGCTGAACATACATTGTTTCATTATTTGTTATCAGTACAGCTTTCAAAGAGGGATAACCGACGTTCACCACAAAAGCACAAGTTAATCGCTTGAGTAACCGGTGGTTGTTCTTATAGCTCAGTGTGCGTCGGCGATATTGTGGCTTCAGTTGTGAGTTTAAGCACGCAAAGAAGGTAGATGAGCCTGACACACAGTGCGCAAAACTTGTCTAGCAGGAACAAGTATATTGTGCACGCTCTGGTACCGTTTTTAGGTAAGCAGACCAATAGGAAAAGACTGTTCATCCAAACAGTCCAAATGATCGGAAATGATTTGACGGATGAACAACGAAAGGGTGTGGCATTCAGCCAAACAGTAAGCATGAATGTAGGACAGATTAGTCAGTGAAGACGATAGGAGGAAAAAAAACCTACTCATTCCGGGAACAGCCATCAGAATACGCGAAACCACCACTTTGAATATGGCTCGCTGACCAACGACTCTGGACTGACCGAGTACCTCGCCATTCTCATCTGTTATAGTCGTTCCTTCAGTGAGTTCCAGGCTACGCATACATGGAATGTTGATGCAGTTAGCCGCTGCCACGGCGATGAACGGGACGAATCGGCCGAATAGTGGTGGAAATCGCTGAGTAAAGTGAGGGAACATACGGAAATAGCCACAGCAGAATAATAAAGTCGACAGGCATTTGGTCAGGTGGCGGCTAGTTTGTTCGCCGAGCCTGGCAAATAGCTGTCAGACCTCAAGCAGTGTAAGCTGCTCCAAAAAATCTCGGAATTATATGCCATCATTAGCACCAAAATTAGACGTCCTCCCATCTGTAAGATGGGAGTTACATATTCTGTGAGGATCACTCATCAGCGTCATTCGTGACAGCGGGTGAAAAAGTTACGACTGGGAATACCCAAGTAAAACTCGCCTGTATACTTTCACAGGAATAAAAAGCCTTAATTTCGCAGATCCTACCGGCATAGAAGATCCACTTGAAATCCCATAAAAAAATACCCTTCATCTGGTCCAAGCTGGGTCAACATATGCATTATCAGAAAACCCCCAGTCATCGCGACCTACTCATGCTGTATCATCTTACTTTTGTCACACAGATGCAGACAGCCTAATCTGTACGTCCCCAATGCTTCGCATTGGGTAGAGCGCCAATTCATAAGACCATTTCGCTAAAATCTCGCTCCGCATGAGATTACTCATCACGAAAGGAAGGTATACTTATCTACAGCTGCAAGAAACTGGAAAAATTAGCTTGTTTATGAGCCCAAAACCGTGACTGCTTTCTGGTGCCAACCCTCAAGGATAGATCTGTATCTTTTGTCCATCATTCCTCAGTGCGTGGAAAATTCACTTATGTTGTGGGGGAATGAAAAGTCAAATCCCTGCAGACAACCTGTGCACCGGATGCACATTTGGGCTAGCTACTAGAAAACGATGCGCACATACTGACGCGATTCTGTACAGTAAACGCCCCTCCGACCTTAACCAACGAGGAGCCGAAGGCGTTCTTTTGACTCCTCTTGGACAAAGTGATTATTCAACGCCTGAATCTAACTACACATCGTACGCCTACTACTCAGAGAAAGATTGGCAAAGGGACCAGCACGATTAGGCTACACAATTGTCCGGATTTAGTTCGAGGTAGTATGCGAGAATTCCTGTATAGCGACCCAAGAGAACTCGTGGAGAAACCCGGAGCTCTGGAAGCTGCGGCCCCACCCTACCAGGAAGCAGCGACCCATGCAGAGCAGAGCAGTAATTGGATGACAAAAACATACTCCAAGTAGTTACTGTGAGGACCGAGTCCAGACTAATTCGCGCGATCGCCCGTTCTTCGCTCACCCTACCAGGAAGCAGCGACCCATAAGAAGCAGAGCAGTAATTGGATGACAAAAACATACTCCAAGTAGTTACTGTGAGGACCGAGTCCAGACTAATTCGCGCGGTCGCCTGCATCGTTCTTCGCAACCAGCGTAACCCACTAATCCAAGACGAGAAAACCGGGTACCACCAGATACTAGCAAATCTATTTTGTGAGAACCGTCAAATCCTTTATGAGCAACTTGACGGATTTCGTCTGGTAAAACACAAAATTATACCTCGAACTAAATTGACCCGAAGGACAACGAAGCTGATGCTGTAGCAGATGCTGGGACATCACAATTCTGTGTCTCAGACCGCAGATCTGCTTCATGGTATGCCAACACTACTAGCATAGCTTACCTAATTGGTTTTCTACTCGAGCTATACAAAGCAAGCTAATTTCGTCCCAATCAAGCAGTTTCCCTGGTGTGGACAAGCTACGTCTCAAAGGTTTTATGTCAGGAGTAGCAATGCTGCCCAAATCTCCAGTTCATTTCTTTCAACAAGGGCTCGCGAAGAATTTTTTCCTCAATGTGGAAGCAAGGAATGATCACGTCCGGATTCAAGTCTCGTACTGTGACAGATCCAACCAAACACCGATCTGTGATCATCCTGCCGGTGACATCAGGACGAAGGAGGCCAAAATAGGCGACAGAATCATGGATTATCTCGAATTCGAACTATTCTGGATAAAACGGCCTCCGCAAATGACATTCATGCACGTCCATTCTGTCAATATTGGGGACCAAATCGATGGATGCTGAAATAGGAGTCTAAGGCATCGGATCGAGTAGACCACAACATTGCCTATTGGAAATTTCGAGTACACTGCATAGACGGTCGCTACTAACTCTGGTAGCGGACTTCTGAAGGGAGAGAATTCAGAGGGCCCGTGTACGCAAACTATGCCAAAACCGATTTAAGCGGAATTCGGCGCAGAAGTGAGCGGACCTTCGTTATGTGAATCCTCTCTAAGGATCTGACTTCCCGCTCCCAGAAAAACCCGGTTTTGCAGTGCGTTCCCAAAAAACGCGACCTTGGAGTGCTTACACGGGCAATTCCAAGCTATACGATCCAGGACGTAACGGCTTCTTTCTGTGACGACATGTTAGTTTCTGCATCCTAGTTACAAAAACTGGACACAGATCTTCTCCCGAACGAGTCTTCCTAGAGATTCGTTGCCTCCACTCATTCGTCGGTCAAATCCAAGCAAATGTTACAAAGTGGCCCCTCGAATTCCGCAACAGAATTCCCTTTTTCAATCGATGCAAAGCAAAAATGTACGAACAACACACACTATTCGCGTGCCTCCCGATCAGTAGTATCACCATCACACAGGTATTCCATATTTGTCCGGGGACTTGTGGAGAGTGGTTGACTTCCTGCTCCCTGCGCGCGCGTGAGTGTGTTGGGCCGAGTTGTATACCTATTTATTGTGTGCATTGTGGAGAGGGGCGTGTCCAGTTGTGTTTGATACTTGCACGAACATGAATACAACTTGACTTGATGTGTTGAATGAAGTTCATAATCCTGGCGCGTGACGCAAGTGGTAGCCTCGTAAACGAAAATGGTTGAGAAGTTCTATTGTACATGTTGCCGGCTAAGGTCGCAAGTGGGACAGGAATTGTCACGTGTTTTGAGTATTTGTGACGCGTGATCTGATGAGTGACCTCTACAGACCTCCATCTGGGGATTCTTCGTCGGACATTTTGGCAATTCGAGCCGGCACTCCAGTCCTCAACTTCTAACTGCATACTTCGTGCTCATACATACATCATGACACATTTGGGATATTTCTCTCAAGTGTTTAAACTTCATCTCTCCAAATCCCTGTCTTTAGGAATCGACGTACCTCCCACTTGACCACTCACATCATCACAGAATATAAAACACTGGTGATACCAGTACTCGGATGCCATATTTTCTGGAGCCCCTTTTACCAGCTTTCATCCGCTGCTAGGAAAATACTCTCGGGACTTAAAGTCAGCCCTTTACCATGTAAATCCATGATGTATCCTTCATGGAGCAACCACAACTAAACAAGAAGCCTGATAAACAACCAGCCGTTCAGAATGATTCTGGGGAATATTCGAATCCAAAACGCTAGCACAAATTAAAATACAGGATCGAACGATAACGCCGATCTCTTAGCAACGGCCCACGAGGTCATTGGCACACACCGACAACCGCTGCTGTTTCTAATTTATCTACGGTTACATCGAACACAGCATTAATATGGTGACTGTACTACTGTTTATAAGTCGTCCTACCTGAACTTGTTTGTTTATGCTCAAAGCAGTTGCAACAGCGCCTGTAGTGGCTAGGACGTAAGACGTGCACAGCCGTCTGTAATGGAGAGAAGGTGGAGAATCAATGCGCAATTGAGTGACTGAGGGAAATTCTACACACTACAAGGTTGCATGAGGCGTGAAACGAAAGCAGCTGAACTGAATCGATGATATACACAACTACACTGTAGAAAAGAGTAACCAATTAACCACACCTCACTCTCGTGTGTTGTTTACAATATCAGGACAAAAATGTATAGAGGAGACAACAACACATGCAAACTACACAAATGGCAACTCACCAGTGCATCATTAACCGAACAAAACAGCTCACGGTATAGAATGTGACCGTCACTCAATGGGAAACTCCTTATTATTAACTCCATTACCAAAGTGGTCCGACCCCAGAATCAAAGAAAATTCATTTGCTTCAAGAGATTGTGCTTTATTTCACACCGCGAGTAGCCAGCTTAAGTACAGCCTGTCGAGTATACACAACTGAGGCTAAAAGGCCTACGACAGGTGGACGTAGTTTAGTGATCCGTGTTTTCGCCTTTCTGTTTGGCAAGCTTATCTAACCACACAACGGCCAGATCATCATCATTTACTCTGCCATTGTGAGCTTTTTGGGAGAACGAACTTCTCTCGTACATCTGGGCTTCAGATCGTGTTAACTAACCAAGATGTGAACGTTACTCCAGTAACCATACACAGTGCTCCCTTTGTTCAAAGGCACTCGGGGAACACGAATACAGGATAATAGATGTCTTTGTGCCGTTGTTTCCTCCGAAATTGGAGCATATCTTCATTGTGAGCAAATAAAATTGTTTGAGAGGCGTCTGTAGATTGAGTGCCGTGAGCTGGAAACCAACATGCCTAGCTCCAACTCTTTCTTGCATGCTGGGTTCAATTTCCATTGACGCACAGCGTCTATCGAAAACGAGGATATACGATCCAAGTACGGTTGTTGAACAGGCCTCCCCTTCCTTCTTGCTTCCGATTGAACATCTCAGATAGTCCATGAGCTTCTGCGGTTAGTTTTCGGTGTTGGTAGTGTTTTAGGTAATCGGTTGGAAGGATCGTTGCCTGACTGAGAACCTGTTAATAGCCGCTTGTGTGCGATTCGTTCAACGATGTCTGTGAAACCATGCCGTATACGAGCTGATGAACGCTGAGAGTTCCATTACGCTCTCATATTCCCAAAAATAGGTTTTACGACATATTGAGTGCTACATTAAGTCAGGCCAAAAGCTCAGAAGATGAACACCCACTGCAGTTATGTGCAGCAGCGGCAGTAGCAGTTATGCAGCACCAAATTCCGAAAGAACACAAATACCCTGGTAACTCGATACCCGTCACATATTAGTCACTCATCAGCAGTTACGGGTGAGGTGGACCAACTAATTTCCACTCATTCTGCAACCGCATGGCGGATGCGGACGTATGTAATCTTAAAGTAAGGTATTGCATTCTGAAAGTGGAAACCACAGGCCGAAACAGGCAACCGCTTCCAATGTTTTACTTAGAATAGTTCGTGTGGACGCATAAAACAATGCCATCCACATAATCCAAGCCCGCCAATCTTTCTCAAAGTGTGACTTCGAAACACGGATTCACGACCCTTTGGAAAGTATAGTCCAGGATGTTGTCAATGACGAGATTGAAGAGGAATTGGAAGACGACCGATCCCTCGCGAAACCATACCATTTGGATAGCTTATTGTAAACCCTAATGTGATCAAAAGTACAGGAATAAATGATATCAGGAATACCAGGGAACTTCGAGAGTATTCCTCATTGGCCAAGTATATCCAGAAGAGACAACCTATCTACGTAATCGAGAGCTCCTTTAAGGTCAAGGAAAAGACTGACAGTAGGGTGAGAGATGGAGTCAACGCATGAATCTCAAAGGCGTTCACTGGTTCGAACCAATCGTGACCTAAAAAGGCATATCACTCGCCTTAAAAGCATATGAGCATCGGGTAACGGTATAGGCTACCAACATTCTATTCAACAGTGCAACACTGCAAAACGACACTAGATTACCATGCTCCTAAACCAGTCAGAATGCTGAATTATTACACTAAGACAGCATGTGAGCATATATACTGAGTCTAGGCTTGGGATAACATATGTGGACAGAGAGAGTACAATACAATGTTTGTCTAGACGGTTGCCAAAAACTACGAACGGTCTCACCCCTCTTGGAGTTCATCCGATACACGCGATCCCCGAGTCTGTAACTGATCCCGAATAGGGCACAATTCATGATATACACTTAATTACGCGCTAATTTAGTATTCAGCCGAGACAACTGAATTCCAGCTAAATCTCTCGTTTATTACGTTGCGTTTCAGTTGGTACTGTGATATCTCGGCTATCTTCCAACCTGAAGCACGAGAAGGCAGCACATTCAGTTGACCAACAACAACGGGTGATTCAACTGCGATTTAGTTGAGTCTCCCGTGAAAACCAAATAGTTGTGCAAATGAGTGGATTTCGCCTGCAGATTTCATACAATTTGAGTTCAAGTAGAACATGAGGTTGGAGGAAACTCGGGGACTGCACCTACCCGATGACCCCCAAGAAAAGCGAAACCGGTGGTGAGCTGTCGGAGTTTTCGATAACCTTAAGGGTAGTTTCTTTCAGCAAGATATACTTCGATTTCCGAACTGTTCTAAGTGCTCCTACGTTTGGCATTTCATCAGTCATACGTCGACCGGCAGCACGCCAAGGACTGTGTTGTGCTCAACTTGTCAGGCGAAAAATTCGCATTGACCAGACAGTAGTTGCGTTTCACACGTCTGACCATGTGGATCGTATCTCGAAGATTAACTTGACAGTAAGACATGGAATGCGGTCGAAAAACGAAAAGCGTAGGTCGCTACACATGGATTACTGGAGAGGAGAATGTTCACGCAGTAATCGTCCGACGAGGAAAATACATACGAGTTTCCCATCAGCTAGAACAATACATCACTCCTCAAAGAGAGGTCGAATACCCATTTCCCCACCGGGATCCCCTGTTAGAGGAGGTCCAGCTGTAGTTCGAATTTGCATCCGACCTTGGAAATGTAACAGTAGTAGACTATGAGGGATACTAATGACAGGCGTCGGTGACGCAATCAAGTGTGGGGTGAGTTGCGGGATGTGAAGGACATCCTTGCCTGATCCCACTGAGTGCAGTGGACTCTGGAGCGTACTTGCCGTAGAGACGTACGCGTCCACGGGGTGAATCATATAAAACCTTTATAAGAGAAAACAATTTAGTAAAACACCTTTCTAGCAGTACGGGGATTCGCTGTTCTCCGTCGGGATGCCGCCCGTTGGCCTTCCGAGCAGGGTTAAACCTTTAGGAAATGAGTTACAATCAGTATAGCCCACAGGATCATTGCAGCATAGAAGCCTGGCCACCACAGTGTGGCAGCTTTAGGCCGGGACAAGTGGTGCTGAGCGTTGTTTCGGTCAGGGTTAGACTGGCACTTCTGAGATCGTATTATTCAGAGACCAATTTAGTATAACCGAGCATTGCTGATTTTATTCCCAATAGGATTTGTTTGTACATATAGAATGTCGTCAGCTGTTTCCGAGTAGGTTCCTCCAATGAGTCATTGAAAAAATTGAACTGGTACCTTGTTACAGTGTGTAGCCGGCCAAGAAGTGATACCATTCGCATGAACAACGCGGGTCGTTTTCACTCATTTAAGTGACCATCAGGTCTCACGAGAGACTCGATAAGTAACAAGCTGGGAGATTGGAATTTAACAAAATCTTAGTCGAATCCTGGCCGAGCTTCTCGAAATGACCTGCACATCCTAGCATTGAATCGATAAGATGACCAGCACACCCCACTGCCACACTTACCCACATATCGCAACCCAAACAGCATCATCAGTTTGCCGGAATGAGCTGGTTGAGTGTCACCCCTAAGAAGTCATGACTACACCAGGGTACTAAATAACCAAAGTCAGGAAGAATCGCGTGCCTAGTGCTTCATTGAAGTTTGCCGCAAGAAACATGCAAAGACAGCAGGCCTCGGTTGAACCTAGAAACGGACAGCATGTGAGGACATTGTCGAAGCGAAAATGTTTACAATAACTACCACCCGCTTGTGAACAGACCGAATTCGCTGATTTCCCTGGTCTACAAAATTCGAAGGATAGGATTTTCAGTGCCGGATTTTTTAATTCGCCAACTATCAGGAATTCTATTCTAAGTTTGAAAAACTAAATTAAAATACGTTTCACCAGCAAGATACTACTGATAAGGTTGACACAAACTCGTACCAAATACGTTGACACCATTCCAGTTTTCGAACGAATGTACAACTCCACAACTTAAACATTATTTCAAAATCGGGTTACGAGCAGCGACAGAAGCCAGGCGGAAAACGGTCGGTGACGTGCATTTTCACGGCTTAAGATTTCCCAAAAGCTAACGGTAGTTAGCGCAATACGCTCAAATATAAATTGAACTGGTGTTAACAGGAGGTCTAGTTAAATCTCTCGTTCATGGTAGGATAAGGAGTACTTAATATAAAGAAAGTAGATGGACATGCTCATAAAGCAAAAGCCAAGTTGAGTGAAGTTTGGATCAGTAAGTCGTTGTCAGAAGAAAACGAAATTGATGGAAGTAATTCATATCGGAATGAGGTTAGGTACATTATGCGGTTTTCTCCTTCCATAAAGACCACATCCAAGTGTGGCCAATTCTGTTTGGTGAAACTGCCTTCATAAACCTCTCAGGAGGGATTAATTCGGTCTTACTTTCAGGTGATCTCTCTAGGGAGGTATATGAAACTTCTCCGAATAAAACTATATCTCGTTCTTTCGCCCTAATATCCTTTGCTTTGTTTTGTCACTATTTCTTCTAGGGACCGGCGTACCTGCTGCTGACACTGGGCACGCAGTTACTTAATCCAACGTGCATCACCGGCACCGCTATCACTATCGTGTACCGGTCGCAAGAAAGGCCAGAAACTCTTTTTCGAGCCAATTTATTGACTTAAATAGATGTTTAGCAGTTGACTTGTTATTTTGAATGGGCACAGAGCAGAATACGATGGCACATGCAAAACCTTGGTACTGATATAGACTAGAAGGATGAAATGAGCATGCAGACAAACAGTCTTCCTACCAACAGTTGGTCGAGTTAAATATTGTGGCGTCAACTCATCGTTCACCTTTGAAATTCGAATCTCAACCTTTCATTCCTTTAAGTCTCCGCGTAGTAGCCACTTCTGCATTACCACATCGCTTAAACGATAACGGATAAATTGCAGTTACTATTGTTCTAACCGCAGTAGTTCCCCTCACAAAGAACGCCTCAAATGGTCTACGCTGGGCGGCGGTATGCCTGGATGGAGGGAGGGGACTTTCCATTACCGTATGATGACAAATTTTGCTCCCGCTGTGGTAGTGGATGCACTGAATTCATCTGCTACAGCGCAAGCATGGCCTACGGGAGATTTGACACTGAATGCCTCTGGTCCACTTAGCCTGGTTTGTTTCAATTCCTATCTCATATCTATGAACAAAATACCTATCCCGCAAAACCACAAAACTGCAGCCAAAAAGTTGCCCAGTGGGTTTTAAGCATGTGTGACGCTACCTGACTGGGAAGTCCTGACTGGCGGGTCAATCGATCGTCACAACCAGGACAGTTACTGGGTCATCATTCGATGAGTGGGGCACACCAATCACCGCTCAAGTATGAACACGTTCGCCTGCTCAGATGTGAAAATTCAGAAGCATCCAACGCGCGTTGGAGGAGTAGTGGTTACACGCTCGTCTCGCATGTTAGATGTCCGGGGTTCAGATCCCGACACGGCCATTGGATATGCACTGCTTTAATAAGAGCAAAACTCGAGTCCAGTGCTTCCCTTTGGTGTGGACTCACCGGAATAATTAAGCCAGAACAGGAGGACGACCGTTCAAACGAGAGTAGTGTGGCTATGGACAAAATACCTATCTCGTAAAACCCCAAAACTGCACCTCATATCTACTTGAGGTGTATGTAGTATACTTGATTGTCTTGTACTGTTTCACATTTTGTTGTATTGTGAAGCTGTATTACATCGTATTCCATTCGAGGGAATTAATTTCATATCTGTATCTTGGATACATGTGCAAGTGACCTGCGTCCACTCTCAGGACAATCCGGAGTGGCAAGCTTATGACGGTGTTGTGGGTACAGACCGTAAAGACCAACATTAGCTGGCCACATATGAGTGTGTCTCGTGATTGGTGCAGATCACTAGATCACCTGTTGGCGTACACTGTGGGTATCAGCAGTTGGTTTACATCCGCTCGACCTGAAAACTCTCGGTCACCCGTTGGACGTGTTGGTAGCTTTAAAACTGACCTCGTCCGCTCACTCTCCAGCCTTGTGCTCCGGTGCGTTTAGTTGGATGTACATGAGACTAGGCACAAACCATGTGTGACAGTACGAATCATGTGCGGAGACTCATCAGATTCCTTCAACGTAACACGATGTTAGGATGTAACAGATTCCAGGCCACCAATCAATTGACAAACTCAAGATTCGCTCCCTGAAGTTTCGGAGGAACAGAGGAGTGGAAATCCTGAAGACTGCATTCTAAAGGTGCGAAACGCGTTTGGAAACAATGGATCGTTTCAAAAATTTTATTCAGTGAAGGCTGTGGACTGTAACCGTCAGGACTGAAATCTTTGTCTTCGAAAGGCAAGCGTTTGAAGGGAACCGGAAAATGCCTACTGTGATGAGATATCCGGACAGTGCTCTGTAAAAACCAATACCACTGGTCATCGGATGAGGTGAAACCCACGCTATTTCAAAAACGAAGCAATAAGACGAAACACATGAAATGAACAGAAATTCTCCCACGAAAAGATACCTCTGTCATGTGGACCCCAATGAGGGATCGAAGAACTTTCAACAAAATTCCGGAGGCTGTTCTTGTGACAAATATCGTCCAGCTGTAACACCCTTCCGGTGCCTAGCTGCCATGCTATCCGAAGGAAGCACGAGGGCTGGGATACTGCCAGGTTGCCCAAGCCTAGACAGGTGAAGTCGAGAGGCAGATGTCGGGTTCGAACCACGGACCATCGGGTCAGTAAGTTCGCGCTCTAACCACTTGAACCATCTTGCCCTTGTCACAAATAAGCCTGCATTGAATGCATTAAAAACTGCTGTACCCCACAAGCCTAACTTTTTTCTTAGATTGTAGCCGCGTGACTCTGCTACCATGCAAACAGTCAAACTGAAATGAGGAAAACGTTCATCCAGACATCCCATGAATGACTGTAACAAGGTAAGTGAAATCACATACATGTAAGTCTTCGGAAATCACTTCTTGTTTCGGTATGTTTACTTTGGATTGACTCTCAAAGGTCGCAAGTGCCCAGTTTTAGGCACTGTAGTACTCTTTATTTCGTGCTGACAGACCCTTTCTTTCGCGGAATATGCATTTTTATGGGAAACCTCCCCTAAGACGATAGGCAATACACCCAGAATAGAATTCTCGTGTTGCTTATGATAAAGCGCTGTATTCCTTTCTTTTATCCGTCCGTCTTTGGAGTCACTCTACAGTCAAGCTAGTCACTGGACGGAGAAAGCGGTTCCTCAACAACACAATTCATCTTTTCACTGCGACGGGATCTGTGTTTCCCGCATCAGCTAAGCCTTTGGTTTTCTATAGACGAAATGTCGGTAGCTCAGGTAGCGTAGGTGGTCGCTGGCTTGTTCGCTGAGCTGGGCAACTCGATTGCAAACGTTTTATCACCAATCGAGGTGACATCATCAGTGCGTTATTGGGGAGCGTAGTGATTGTGCACAACTACTAACCCACCGCTACACGCCTTCGGTTTTCTTTTTTTTAACAATAAATGTAGTGATTTTTATTACAAAAGTCTGTGGACAAACTTCAAGATAATGAGGGCTTTTTTGGATTTTACAGGGGAATGTTTTGATAGGGTTCCTATATTCCATTCTGAAAGTGTATTTGGCTGTCTAAAGCCTTACATGCGGAAATGGACAAAATAAACCTTCAGTCATTCCTTCGGACGCTTTTAGCATCAAGCATGACATGAGTGATACGTCACTTTACGACTGTTTTGAAAAGTTATTAGAATCCTGCTAAATTTTTTCCAGGGAGAAGGGTACAACCTGCCTACTTCATAAGTAGGTCGGACATCGTCTTCAAATGGGGACAAAAAGTAACTTCCATCAATACATACATCGTATTCTTACCGCGGCAAAAGGTGTCAGTGAAATTTCGGGAAACGCAATAACTGAGTTATAACACATTCTTGTTATACCAGTAATCCTTATAAAATAAAACTGGCAGTTCAGTATCAGAGGCTGGGTGTATGAGAAAATATCAAGCACAGCAGTACAAGTTGCTCCTGATCTGCTGGTTGTGGCTCACAACTGCTTAATTTGGTAACCATCCCCCTACTCACTGACCAGAGACGCGCCAGATAGTCCAAACATACTACTGACTGCGTTAGTAAGATAAATCGAGTTTGCTTATCCTTGCCTTTGAAGTACTATAATGCAATTGAAGTGACGGGCATCTTATAAGTGTATTGCAGAATGTAAGTAAATTGGATCAATCATAGAATAGCTGAGATAAAAGCAGTGTATGCGACTGGTTGTGACAACGTAGTCAACGTATTCCAGCATCGTGGCAGGTAACGGCCCTAACATCGGGAAAGATTACCAAGGCGTTCGAAAGATAAAGAGCACAGTTAGATCTCAATCAACTTTACAAGAGCAAAGGCAAGTCTTTGGTAGTTTCTGAGGTGATCGAGCCGAACTTAGTTGGTTCGAATCTTTTTATGAAATCACATGTACAAAATAGAAACCATCAAAGAGGAAACTCACGTGAGTGATATGGGAGAATCGCCACTCCGATTAGTGTAGTTGACAACCGCGTTAAACGTTTGATTGAACCACTGCCAGAAAACAACGGCCGAGGTTGACCTGGAAGGTGAGAAAACTTCTAGTAAAAAGTGCACTACGCTAAAATAGTCTATTGACATACATGATCAATTAACTTGAGGTGCGATATAAAGTTGCTCACAGCCAACTATCCGCCTCATCCTTTTTGGAATAACTCAGTTCCCCAACTTTCCACAACCTTATTTCGTAATTGAACACCGAGTATGTGTGCAGATAAACGCTAAGCTATGAACGAGAGGGCTGCATGATGTCTGTCTGTAGAAGTTGTCGAAACAGATTGATGGAAACTATTCGATTACACCTGGCCTAATAAGCTCCAAGAAGAGAGAAACCAGTAATGGTTTTCGACAGATTTTTGCCAACCTTATAAGTAGTGTTTTGTCGAGGAAAGAACTGTCCATCACCGTGTTAAACGCACACTGATCACTCTCTCCCAATCCGTAACACGTCTGGCCCGACGTATCGCACACACAGCGCACACGCACAAATTGCGTCTCACCCATGTAAACATACACACACGCACTCAGACTGCCCGGCCAGATGCCTGTCTCATCTTGCAAGTTGGTACGCTGCTTGCTTGCTTCTCACACACGTAGTGAGCACGCAGTGAAAAGCGTAACGGAGCGTGAAAGATTATTTACTTTTCGACAGTATTGTATATTATCGCTGGTGTCCATCACCAACCGTTGGGCGATCGGATTGTGCAATTTTTAAGGTCGACCTGGGAGGGGGGCAGTTTCGCTGCTTCCGTAAATACGGACACGCAATTTGCCTGGGGGAAACACCTTGCTGCCCTCACATTCAAATCAAAGAGCACAGTACGAAATTACCTCCGGATTGCTTCTTAGTACGGTTGTTTTTGGTATAGGACTCCTTATTCTCCGTCTGGCTGCTCCCTGTTGGCCTTCCTGGCATGGTTGAAACCTGAGGAACTGAATTCCAACCAGTGTGGACCGCAAGATTAGTGCAGCGACAAATTGACAACTTTAGGTCGGAAAAGTTTACTTTAGGTATGATCCTTAGACTGAACGGTTATCGGTGTACCCAGATGACCTAACTACTGATGGATATCTTTATGACATCGGTTAACATTACAAACTATTCAAATAGGACAATCCGGCTATTCATCAGTAGTTAAGTTGAATAATTCAACGGCATATTACACAAAAAATCACACTCAATTGTGTGATAAACGGTTCACAAAGGACACAATTCTAGCTATAGCCGATTGCGGCTATCAACCCGTCCCGTCAAGTCAACTGCGCCCTGATGACGCCCACTTGTATGGCGACGAGACGTTCACAAGCCGATTGCCAAGCTCGGCGAGCACATCGAATGTCAACTGATCAACAGCTAATCCTGCCAAGCTCCCCGAATCCCGTCAACGGAACTGCAGTAGCTGAAGCCTAATGGTTAATAGCTGATGACTAATAGCAAATCCAAGAAAAATACCTAAGGAACAGCCAAAGCGAACTGGTTCCTCAGCTTGACAAAAAGGGGCTTCGGGAAAAGTCTTAAGTAGAGCAACAAAGCTTTTCTAGAAGCAACTCGGTTTGAAAGTAAAAATAGGATTAGTAGCTAACTGTGACAATAGCCAAAGTAATTGTAAACATGGCCCAAATGAACAAAAGTTTATTTTAACACAGTAGGTCAATGGGAGAAAATCATAAACGAGGGGCTCGTTTCACCTCAGTAGATAAGCAGTCAATTCGAATTTGGTGATCAAGCAGAAAATCCGAAGACCAGTCGTATCTGGTGAGCCATAGAAAGAGCAGACCTGATAGCGCTTGCAGAGGGCCTTCGTTAACCATGTATGCAATATCGTAAAAAAGAAAAACATGAAGGGCTTTAAACTATACTTTTTTTAAGAACAGAAACCACATTTATTAAAAAGGGTACCTACTTGTAAAACTGGAGTAAACAACCAGTTATAAACATGTTTCCCGGAACTTGAAACGACATGCGACCGAAAAAAATCATTTTCTCACCCGTGTCCGGATGAAAAGCAGAATCGTACAACTGTTTCGCTCTCCATAACCCATCCACAGTCAATCCGGGAAGCGGATCTCCAGATCTGCACAGGTGACACTGAAACGCGAATGCGCACAACCTACTTGTACTTGTGTACGATCGACTTGGCTTCTTCTAGTTCACTTGAACTCTTGAGAATATTCAGCGGATTGGTGGTGATGATGAAATGTTTCGCTCGTCCTACATATGTGGACTGATCATATCTGGGCTTGTCGATGTTTATTCCGTAGCTGTATATGTCGTCCTGCAGAGAAGAGACAAAAAGAGAGACTGGTTAGTATTCGGCCAACTTTTTTATTCCATAAAACCTGGGCCTCTAACCCAAATGACACCCTAAGACTGCAACGTCACTCTTTGGCAGACCCTGTCAAAAAGGCGTTGTTTGCTCCCCGAGAGGGGAGCTTGTTAGGTTGACATGTATTCGATGAATGTAAGCCCCAAAAGGCAGCAGAGGACCGAAATGACAAGCCGAAACGAAACCTTTCCCAGCATATTGTGTGTTCACCGGAATCCGGGCCAACAAGTGATTCAACAAAGTTTCTGTAACTAATTCTTGCAACGATGAAAGCCACACTCGTAACACTCCCACGTCCATCCAGACTACGAAAACGTCAAGGCAATAAAGTTTGATTGCTACAGTAGGCAAACGTCCGTTATTTTTAGTTCGTACGTATAAGGAAAGGCAGTAAGAGGCTCAGTTCCGTAGTAAAACTCCTACTGGTGTGTCATATTGAGATGTTTTTCCATATTTGTGAGAGCACTGGTGCTTCGATTCCCGGAATAAGGGTTGGAGACGTCCAACCTGCGCAATCTGAAACACCCGTGAAACTCATAAATCACACTTAGAAACCGAAGCAATTTTAAAAGTATTTGCTGCTCATATCACTAAAATGAACGAAACTCTTGTATTATACCCTGCATTTGAAGGCTAGGCAAGAACCCAAAGCACCCCGCCATAGTTGCGAACCGGCGTTTTTAGTGCTTTCCAGTCGGTATTGTTGTGCAAGTCAAATAATCCAGCAAATGTCTAGAGATTCCAAAATAAGATAATTTTATGTCAATGCTTCAAAGTTGACTGCTCCAAACAACCTCTCTTTGTTGACTTTGAAAACTGGAAAATGTGACTTGTTATCACGGTACTGGCAAGCTCGAGACAGCTTATTGGTTCAGGGCTATAGCCAGGTGTCGTCTGAAGAAGTCCCCCAAATAGCGAAAAAGAAATTCAACGTCAACTGAAGACCTCACCCTCAGCCTTTAGCAATGGGAAGTGGTAGGTCTTCCAGGCCTTCTGCACTCGAGGGAACATGAGACAAGGTATGCAACCACATCCACAATCCTAGATTAAGCACTGAGGGTTCCGGTGCAGTGCGACAACCCTACTGAGTGGCAGCAGGTGGTGGCTAGAATCGTCAATGTTGTTTGCTGAGCTGGTGGATTACACTACAAACGCTTTGTCACCAACTAAGGTGTACATCAGTGCTTAGTGAATTGGCGGTGCGATGGTGTGTAGGCTTTAAGCCGTGCTGCGCGCATGCATATGTGTCTTGTCGACGGGGTTGGGTGGCCTCTGATTATAACTAGTCGTTTGGATGGTCATTCCTACCAACTCACTAAGCACAGACGATTTCACCTTAGTTAGTTATCATCATCGACAGCATGACATCAGTGTTCAACACCGATGCTTCACTGCCGTACAAACATGACTTATTTGAAAGCCTTATTGTAAAGAAAAGAGTAAAGGTGGGCGGGGGAGGAACTTAGTGATAGCTTAACACAAACATTCCGAGGTGCCTACACCTCCAGACATTCACTCAGGCAATCTGGACAGAAACTCACATCAAGAACGCCACTGACATCGGTTGGCTGCTATATCTAGTAGTGTCCCCAACCAGGCACAGTGGGGTTCACGCGGTCCCCATCCTGGAAGGCGAGTAGCACTGACAGTACCCAAGTGTTTTGTGATCTCCTTCATACTCCTCAGCCAAGTCAAGGGTTGGCCACCTCTCTGTTTACGCCACTCCGAATTGGGCATGGAAAACAGTACTCTCTTCGGCAAACGATGGTTCGGCATACGTATCACATGTCCCAACCAACGCAGCTTCTGGTACTGGACACATTCTTCAATGGAAGTACCCGTTACACGACCGAAAACACGCTTTCTAACTGCCTCGTTACGGATTCGCCGACACCAACCCACACGAGCTATGGTTCTGAGACAGTGATTGTCGAACACTTGAAGACGTCTCAGTTCCGCTGCTCGAATAGGCCAAGTTTCACAGCCATACAATCATACAGCACAATATCGCCTTACACTGTTGAGAATTTTTGTTTTGCACAAGTAAACTAAGTTGCTTGGGCGGACCGTCACACGAGTCGCCGCTCATTCGTCGATTTTATCTGGTTAGCTGATGTGGCAAAAGCACGCACAGATTCGGCTGAGTAAATTTCAAACAGCATGGCGGTTCTGACACCATACAGATTTACTGCAGCTTTACTCAGCGTTGACCTCCAAACGCAGCCCTGCAGCAAGTGAATTTATTAAATTTGCAATCAGTACAATATTAAGTAGGAAGTCAGGGAAGTCTTATCCAGATCTAGAGAGAGAACACTGTGGATTCCACTCACTCATTCCAAAACCCATAAGTTCTCGACAGTATTTTAAATTCCCGAGAAATATTTATATACGCAAACCAGCGTTTGTTTAGATGGTGGCTTTCAGTTAACCAACCAATCAACGGGACTGTGGGCACTTTGGAAGTCTACATTTTAAACACCGCGTTCTGACCCTTTAATAGGATATTATGGGTACTGATCCTGATGTCCTTTGTGAACAAGCTGAAGTGTCCTTCTTACGGTGGTCCAACAGACAGAAAAATGTGGCTCGCAAATTAATGCTAAACATAAACCGCACTCATCTACAAATAGGTGACTCTCAGCCACAAAACGTTACTAGATGACACTGTTCAGACGACTGCGCTCTTACGCGTGGTTGAAATAATCCAAATGATGTGCCCAGAAAGGGTGTGCAATTAATGCGTCTACGTCTGTGAGTAAGAAGTAACTACGAAGGCCTAAGATAGGCAAGCGAATCCATCATGGCCTATTAAGGACCATCAGCCCGAGTAGGAACGATGACCCTGCAACGTCATTAGTTCCAACGATATCAATGGTAACGTATAAACTGGCTCAAAACTATGAAAATTCAAACCTAGATGAAATAGTTTGAAGTCCTTTTTTTGTTTATCCGTCCCTAATTCTAAAGGTTCTAATGGTGTAGTCATGCTAACAATACCAAACGCTCATAACCAGCCTAATGGCTTCCCTATACATGCATAGCATGTCCTCGAATCATTTGTATTGATATCGGGAGGTTTGCCTTCCACCCAACAGCGCTTCTGTCAATAATTAAAACATATCAAAGGGGTCCATAATACAAGAAGGGATTCAGAGTTGTACGTAGTGATCCGTACAACCAAATTAGACCATAACTCTTGTCTTATCTGTGATATTCATCTGCACTTGGGCTCATAATAGACATACTTGCTGACTTACTTGAGGAATGGGAAAGATATAACCCTTAATGCTGCCGCCGTCTGGATACCAGCCGACTATTCTTTCCCAAAACTGGTCAGTCGTGTGTTCGACACTCACTTATAGCTTGCAGGGGCTCTCCTGGGTCTTGCCGCTGTCATCGTGCCTAGAACTGCTGTAAATTTCGCACTGTTGAATATGTTCGAGTAACTTTTCTGAAAAGGGACACAACCAGTGACAGATGTGGTGGTTAAAACTGCCTCATGTTTCAAGCTGATGGTGCAACTCGAATAGCTAAAATCATCAAAGATTGGGTGTCGAGGCTTGAGGACTGATTTGGAGATTCCTTAGTTAGTGAAGAAATGTTTGTAACGAAATCACCCCCTGCAACGACAGAACGACCAGGCTTGAGGACTGATTTGGAGATTCCTTAGTTAGTGAAGAAATGTTTGTAACGAAATCACCCACTGCAACGAACAGAACGACCATTCACACAACCTGAGCTACCAACATACACCCAACAGCAAACGAGAGTTGTCGTTCAAAGTGCATAGACCAGTGGTGAAGATGACTGTATCAGTTTGATCCCTGTTTTTTTCGGCCACAGGAGGTTTTCCAGGGCCGGTTGCATTCACAATAGTTTCCATATCTTTCATTCTCTAAGCCCTCCGTGTCTACCGGGCCTCACAGTCGGCGCGCACATTAATATTCCACGGAGGACTGGCAATCCGACCGTGTAAAAACTTCTTCGGGATTCAAGCGGTCCCACTGTCCCGTCCGATATCCAGTGCTTAAGTGAAACCTGTGGTGCCACGCTGCATTGGGTAGCATTATGGAAATCTCCCTCCAGTACAAACAGATATCTAACGGTGATTCAGTTGGCATAGACCGGATGACGGTCCTGATAAATCTGTCTGACTTCTAGCCTATCAGATGCTAAGTGGGTTTCCACCCTTTGCAAGGTCCCGAAAAGCAGCAAAGGCTACTCCGGATTAGTACATGGTCAAGAGTTACATTTGTGTTCCAAAAGGAAGACCATTTAGCTACGGACCCACACCAATGGTAACTATTGGCGATGTCGTTCATTTGGGTGACACGCCGTTGGAATACACCATGGAACCAAACGAATTTGGCCGTTCCGGAAGTTAGTACTGCAAAAACAGCTCACAGTCAGCAAAGGGCCGACGCAGTCGTTCCTAGTATCAAAAAGGACCTAGTCAAACCAAACTCGATCCAACTGAGTTTCAGATATGCTGATCCCCTCCACCTATGAATTAAAACTCCAGCCACCACTATAATATCTGAGCCTTTAGCAGGTGATAACCGAACGACGTGCAGATGGCGGTTAGGAGGGTTGGAAGAAACTGCAACCAATTACAGCCAATTACTACGATAGTTGGAACAATAACTTCTCAAGTCTTTGTTCCGCTGGGGTTTAGAAGAGAAGACTCATCTCATGCAGGACAAAGGGGGGCACTGCGATGAACAACACAGTTTGAGGTTCTTAGAGGGCGTTATACTGGCCGGGATAGGAATTCGAAACAAACGTAAACGCCCAAGGGTGAAGGTATCATTACTACTAATGACGCCAAAATCAGAGGAAACACTAGAAACACACTAGACACACTAGAAACACTGCCGTACAATCATATCAGTTTATTTGAATACAACCTTATAGAGCGAAGAATAAAATGCGACAGGCAAAAGGACCTTCGACGCTCGGTTCATCCGACAGTCTCACATTCGAACCGTGAAGAAGACGGACAACAGGCTGCTCTTGCATGTACGGTGGACTTGTTTTCTAATCACGTGCGCTGTCCGTTTGAAACTATTGGTGTTGGTGACCTGACTTCACCACAAATTTCCAATGGGTTCCGGTTGCACACCTCTGCCACTATAATATCTGAGCCTTTAGCAGGTGATAACCGAACGACGTGCAGATGGCGGTTAGGAGGGTTGGAAGAAACTGCAACCAATTACAGCCAATTACTACGATAGTTGGAACAATAACTTCTCAAGTCTTTGTTCCGCTGGGGTTTAGAAGAGAAGACTCATCTCATGCAGGACAAAGGGGGGCACTGCGATGAACAACACAGTTTGAGGTTCTTAGAGGGCGTTATACTGGCCGGGATAGGAATTCGAAACAAACGTAAACGCCCAAGGGTGAAGGTATCATTACTACTAATGACGCCAAAATCAGAGGAAACACTAGAAACACACTAGACACACTAGAAACACTGCCGTACAATCATATCAGTTTATTTGAATACAACCTTATAGAGCGAAGAATAAAATGCGACAGGCAAAAGGACCTTCGACGCTCGGTTCATCCGACAGTCTCACATTCGAACCGTGAAGAAGACGGACAACAGGCTGCTCTTGCATGTACGGTGGACTTGTTTTCTAATCACGTGCGCTGTCCGTTTGAAACTATTGGTGTTGGTGACCTGACTTCACCACAAATTTCCAATGGGTTCCGGTTGCACATCTCTGGTGACCAAGCTAACTTCAGTTTATCAGCTATAAAGCATGTGGATGAAGCGTGGCAAGATGTGAAGGGAGCTATGTAAGCAGCGTTCAGTGCTCTCTGTCCGACTTCTCCGATTCGACCTCAAGACCACTGGATGTCGGCGAGATAGCTATCCATGACTAATGCCAGGAGAGCTACACAAGCAGGCAACGAGTACGACGGCGCACGCAAATCCCTCAAACGCCAAATAGTGAAGAGTCTAAGGAAGGACCGAGAGCTCTGGTGGACATCGAAAGCTCGGGAGATGGAGAAGGCTTTTGCTACGGGAAACAGCCGCGCCCTTTATCAACTGATAAGATCGACTGGCCCTAGGAAAGCAACGGTCAGCGAAACGATAAGTGAAAAAGATGGCTCATTAATTCACTCGCAAAAACGTCGACTGGAGAGATGGGCCGAACACTTCAAAGAACAGTTCAGCTGGCCTCTGGCAACATAGCCTGTGGAGATGATGCATACAGGTGAATGGGATGTAAACCTTGATAGCCCGTCGGAAAAAGAAATAAAGTACGAAATGTCCACACTGAAACGAGACAACGCACCAGAACCGGACGGTCTGTACCCATCCCTCTTCAAGGAATGCGGAAAATCCCTGGTGAAAAAAATTGTTCAGCTGTAACACCCTTCCGGTACCTAGCTGCCATGCCACCCAAAGGAAGCACGAGGGCTGGGATACTGCCAGGTTGACTAAGCCTAGACAGAGGAAGTCGAGAGGCAGAGGTCGGGTGCGAACCACGGGCCTTCCGGTCAGTAAATTTGCGCTCTAACCACCTGAGCCATCTCGCCCCAATCCCCGGTGACCCGTCTGACAAAGCTTATTGGTGCTATATGGAACGAAGAGAAGGTAACTGCGGAATGAGGCATGTCTACAGTTATTCCTATCTTCAAAGGGGGTACGCGGACGCTGTGCGAAAACCATTGTGGCATCAGCTGTGGCATCGAAAGTGCTCTCTGGCCTTATTTTTTGAAGGTTAACCGAACACAGGGAGAGACAGATCCGTGAAAGCCAAGCTGGGTTCCGCCCAGAAAGAGGATGCATCGATCATATCTTCAACCTCCAACTGATTCGGGAGCAGCGACACCGCTTCAAACTACCAACAATGATTATGTTGCTCGGCCTGAAAGCTGACTCTGATTCTGTGGATTACACGTCAATGAAAACCAAGCTGGGTTCCGTCCTGCAGGAGGATGCGTCGATCATAGACTCTTGACCCTGCACACCAACTCCCGCGGCCGTGTGAAGGTCTACGGGAAGCTCTCTTCTGAGTTCACCACATCAAGTGGTGTCACCTTCTCTCTTCAACTTCGTCATTGATACGATCATGGAAGCCTCACTATCAGCCTGTGGGGTCGAAGTGCTCCCTGGGCCTCCGCTCACAGATATCGAGTACGCGGAAGACATAGTTCTCCTTGGATCTGACCCCGTGGTAAGGCAAACAATATTAAATAATCCAACTAATTCCGCCTCACCGTTTGGCATACGCTACTGCTCAAACCCTAACCTCAATCTTGCGGATGAACCGATTGAGGTAGTCGACAAATTTGTTTACCTGGGAAGCTGTATCAGTCCCGGTGATCTCGCAAAAGATGATATTTCCATCCGGGTTGGGAAGGCCAGAGCAGCCTTTGTGAACCTGCGTCACCTGTGGCCTAGACATGATATCGACTTATCCGTCAAGGGTCGAGTTTACAATGCTTCGGTGTGCTCCATATTACTATACGGATCAGAAACCCGGTCACTGTGCGCCGTGGACGTCAAAAGACTTTGAATGTTTGACCATCGATGTTTTCGGAGTATTGTCCGGATCTGGTGGGGACACCGGATCAGCAATGCTGATATTCGGAAGAAATAACTCTCTCGATAGATCAACTGATCACACTGCATAAGGTGCGCTGGCTTGGCCACATGCTGCGTATGCCAGTTGGCCGACTTCCTCGAAGGGTTCTTTTCCAAAATCACGTGAAGGGTGGAAGAGAGTCAGAAGCGGCCATACAATGATTTGGCAGCGAATTATAAAAACCATTACTAGCAAACGCAGCTGCGCTGGTCGTTAGCACCTTCATGGATGGGGACTCCGAGACTGGCAACATCAACAGTTAGAGACATTATCAGACACGGCCCAATCTTGCGCTCAATGGCGCGAGTGCATCCAAGCTATTGCCTTCAATGCATAACTCCCTTCCCAATCCCACACTTGACAGCCAACTGACAGTGCGCACGAATTTATCAGCTCCCGCCTCCAATGCGCAGCTACCTGCCCCACCTCCCCAAATCATCGGTGAACGAAATTGTGGCGGCTACAAACACTGTACGGCAACTACGCGTTTCTTACAGCTGA